CCCTCCTTTCCCGCCCAGGGTCTACTTGGACACAGTGGTGAAACCCTGGGAAGTACCAGGCAAACTGACGGGACTGTTTTTCCGCAGCTGTCGGTCCTGTGGCCGAAGAAAAGGGCCGATATCTCTACAACCCCCAGTCAGTGCAGCTGCTAGCATCGGTGCCCAAGTTTAGGAGAATCACACTCTCCGAGAATGATGCAAAAAGGTTCCTCACTATTGTTTAGGGCACTAATTTTGCTTTTTTGTTATTTTTTTATTGATTTTTTTATTGCCTATATATATACCTCCACACTCCTACTCTTCTATCCATGTACGGTTATGCAATATAGGGTAGCTGTTATGTAAGCTTCGTCCATTACTGAAAAAGCACGAAAGTGCAACCCTTCAGCGAACTACGCATGCGCGTGTATGCGTTTATCGTGGTCCCCTCGCGGAGAGGTCTGGCTACAGTGCGTAGATAGCATGGCGGAGTCGATAAACGCCCTTCTTTTGGCTTCTTGGTTGCCTCCGCGGTACACAGAGCAAAGCGGATTAAGGTCGAGGTAGCCAGTGCTAATTAGCATATTGGCTTGTTCCTTGGTTTTCACAGCCATAACTTCTGAACGCATCACTTTTACGAAAATCCGCCTATTTGTAAAATAAAGCCCAGTGTAGGCTCTGAAGCCGCTGTGGTCGCTATTTTTACCTGTTTGTTGCGCGGGTGGGCATAAAGACGACAGACAGACCGCCTACGGTACGCGCCGAGGGTTAAAACTCTCTCTCTACTCTCTCGATGTGTTTAGAGATGAGTGCCTGAAGAGGTGGAGATTCATTGAGGGAGAAATTGTCTCAGATCATGATTTTGGCTGTGGATACCCCTCAGGTAGTATTTACCCAATATAGTCTCTGGGTTGTTTGTCTTTATAGTTGGGTTATCTCAGATTACATAAGGTCCAACTTTCAGATCATGAATTCAATCATTTTTGCTCCTCTGGCATTACTCAACAGCTGCTTTTTCCTGTGAATCTAATATCTCCCCTCTCCTCTACTCTCCTCTCTATTTGTCATGATGTGGATTCAGTACATTGGCGTACACCTTGAATCCTCAGAAGTGGCTGTATATTGCCTTGCATAATGTATGCAGGTCGTAGTACAGTACTGGTCAAAGGCCAATGGTGTATATGTCAAGGCCAATGTTACCTTACAAACGTGGGAGAGGTATACAGTACACTTCTGATGAACACATGGAGCAGTATGTTTGTGAGGTGTTGTTATGACTAGCTTGCAGTCCCAGAACTGTAGCAAATACTCCAATATTGAATTTAGGTTCGCCTCCATTAACTAATCATTGGCTGAAACCCAACTGCCATTAGCCAAAATTATAGTGGTCCTATGGATGTACTACATGTGTATATACCGTCCCTGATCCAGACCCCCAAACCAAGCAGTGGCTGGAACGGAATCTGGACCCAGTGTTTGGTTTCCCGGCGATTGTCCGGTTCAGTTGGGCCACTTGTGCACAACTCCTTGAGCAGAAGGCTGTCCCCTTCGAATGGTGAGTTGTAGAACCAACCTCTCTCTGAGGACACCCCTGAAATGAGGACACTTTTCTATGAATTTTCTGTCCCATTGGCAGAGGGGTTCCACTGTAATTCTCTGCCCCTTGTGGGTGTATATCTCTATCAATGTATTGTGTTTGTGTATCAGGCCAGATGATGGTGAGACTGAAGCCAGTGCAGGCTGTGCTAAACTGAGCCAGTTCTTTGCACCAAAGACAGGCTCCCAACCTGCTAGAAAGAGGCACCGCTATTTTGAGGAGAGAGGATTGAAGACGTTCTCCAGATTATGACGTGCAGTGTCGAATTTTTAGCATGTTGTTGCACGTTTATTCCCCGTGCTGTCCACGTTCTCCTAGAACGTGTCGGATTCGCTCTCCGTGTATACTTTACGTATCTAACGTACGCGTATAAAATGCGCGCGCATACGCGTGACGTCCGCGTGATTGGGGGTGTGTGACGTCGGTTATAAAACCTGGCTGTGCATGTGCATGTGCACGGCTTCTGCAAACTGTCCAGTTTTTGAGAAGTTGCTGTGGATTTCTAGCCTGCATCTTTGGAAGGAGGTGAGTGTTTAGGCCCTGCAGTCTCCGGTGGCTTATCTCAGCTGTCGTGTATGTTTTTTCAAACTACTTCTTTCATCCGCAGGAACTGTTTTCCAAGCTCACTAAGCTGAAATTTTACAGTCGTCGCCATGTCGTTGGAAACGTTGAAAAACGCTGCCCGAGTGCCGCTCAACATTCTCATAGTCCTTATTCTGCTGCCCGTTCTTGTAGTTGAGTACGTCATCGGCGGCCTTACCCTGCTGGCTAGCATCGGCTCCCTACTCCAGTGCGAGGATAGAGGACTGGCGCTCAAGTTCATAGCGGCCTACCAGTCGGGAGCGTTAATAAAAGCCAAGTTCCCGAACAGTATAGCCGTCAGATCTTAGGCACAATTTTTCACCCTGTGAATCTTGGACCTCGTTTTATTCACAAGTCACCATGTTCGTATTTACCGTCCTTTTTTCCTTTTTTTTTGTGTGTCACGGTTTATGGTCTCACTTCCTTCCCTGGTCAAGTCATAATCTCCCTAGAAAATGAATTTTTTTTCCTACTCAATTGTTTGCTGTATTCATAGTCTGTGAGTTGGGATATTCAACTTACACAAGTATATATATATACTGCAATGAATATTAAAAAAAGAATTTTTCGCTGTGATTGAAAAAAACACGTGATTGTGAAGACCTGCATATCAGGGGCAGACTGCCAAAAACTCCCTCAGCTGATCGATCGGGCTCTCTTTCTCCATCCATGGCTCATCACGAGGAAAAAGGGAATCTTCGGGGAAGAGGTGCTCCGAGTCTTGCGTGGAATCCAGTAGCACCTTCACCTCGTCCCACACGAGGGGTTTGGTGAAAATCTCGGGTATCGGGGTCTCGTTGGACGCCAGTGGCGAGGGAGGGGTGGGCAGCTTCTTGGTCTCCCGGTGTGGCGACAGTTTTGTGGAGTTGTTTACTGGAGGTCGAGGCGTGGCTAACGTGACTTTTGGAGGAGAAGGAGTCATGTCTTTGGTTGCTGTCATGGGTGTACTGGTGTGCCTTGGTGAAGGATCAGGAGTAGATCTCTCTGGTGTGCTCCTGGGAGTGAGTCCTCCACTGCTGTCTCCACCCGGGGTCTGGGAACCTGGCGAGAAGCTTTTACGTTTGCGGCCACCGACAGGACTGCTTTTCTTCCTAGACAGGGGACTGTTGGGTACGGAGACGGCCACGGGAGGATCGGTGAGCGCTGCAACAAGCTGCTGCTTGTTTTGAGAGTAGCTCACGTCCTCTGAAAGTGGACGTTTCTCCTGATCTCTCAGTTCTGCCGTCCTGCGCTCGGCTGAGTTCGACCTGTCCCTCTTGATACGTCGAAACTTGTCGAGGAAGCTCTTGTTGCGTACCACATCTGCCACGGGAACCTGGGTGTCTTCAGTGGGAACAGAAACTGACGGGGTGGGGTTGGAGCGCTGAGGGGACACAGAGCGGTGGATGTGGAAGGCGTTCTTGAAAGAGTCCCACTTCTTGACTTTGTTGGCCTTCTTGGGAGAAGAACCAGACCTGCAGTAGTCATTGCACAAACACACACACATACGCAGAGCATCACTCTCTCATTTCCCACCCTACTCTTGGCCACTCACTATACTCTAGTTCCCAAAACATTGTATAGTGCTCACAAAGCAATGGGCAAATTGTACCTGGGGCCCATGTTCTTGTTGATGGCATCGATCCACTTCTCCATGTCCTCAGTTGTCCTTGCAGCCTGTAGAAATACATTGTTTCACAACTGGCAAATGGAACCTCACTTGGCAAGATCTAGAATCAGCCTCACGTGAGATGCAAGCTTTGCCCTTACCAGAATGTGCGTCCTCTCCTTTGTAACCACCTCAAACGGGTGTCCAAAGCTGGCCACATCACTAGCTCGAACTTGTGAACACTGTCAGTATAGGAAACAGTTGGAGAGGGGAGAATGATAAACAACAGAAACTGCAAGAGATTATCCTCTGCTTGGAGGTTCAAAATGCACATTTTGGAATCTCGTCTTTCATTGAGAGGTTTCTTTCTTTTGTATTCTTTAACGGAGGTTCCGAACTGTGTGTGTGTGTTGCTAAAACTTACGATGCTGAGTTGTATCTCTCCCAAGCACTGTTTCTTCTGCGTGGGGAGAATAACAGAGACACCACTAACGAAATATCTGGCAAGAGCCAAAACACACAACGCATGTGTGTCTTCCTGAAAACGCCTAGTGGCGTTACTCATTCTGAAACTCCTTTGTTATCTCACACATGCAACTTGTTTTTGGGACTCTTCTGGCTCACTCACGGAGTTGCTCTTGAAGTAGTACATATGTTGTCCTCTGATCTCAAACCATCTCTGGTGCCAGGCCTTTAGCCGGCGACCCTTCTTCTGCAGGTAGCCGAATACTTCAACCGGCTCATTGGACTGGACCACTGGTACCTGTGAGAAAGCACCAGCGAAAGAGACATTCACAAGTGATTGTGGTTTCTCAACATCTATGAAAGGCACATGCATCACTATAAAATGCAGACTAGTGCATCTCTACTGCAAGGATATCCTGTTCGACACTCTTGCAGTTTTGTAACTGGGAATTCGCAGCACCAGGCTCCTGCATTAGTGGCACAGGTTCAGATGAAATGCAAAACGCTTGTCTTTACTGGAAAAACACAAGTCACAGGATCACTTACCAGCTACTCATGTTGGCCAACAATGCCACCTTTATCACCTTACACCCCCACTTTCTGTGATTCTGTTATTCGAGAAGCTAATTCTCAACGGTAGCGGACCGCGACCACGCGGACCCCACACGCAGATGTATTAGTACGAACAAGCTCTCTAATCGCTACGATACCAGTAGTGGAACGAACCCCATCGGGTGAGTCGCGACCGGACGCGAGGGCGCGAGGCTCAGCGGTCACTGGGCTGCTCCCCGTAACCGTCAGCTCTGGAGCTCCCGCGGCCCCGCGGTGCTCCTGCACGCCGTCGTACTGCACGTTCAGAGCAGTTATGTCCATATTGCACTGCCTCTGCTGCCTTGGTATTGAGAGAAGGGAGAAGGCGCGCTGGGGGACCTAGTCAGGGACGGGCTTGTAGTCCGGCTTGTGATTGCTGTTCACACCTTGTTATACGTTTAGCGCGTAGCTGGCTATGAAGCACTAATTTGCCGATCTCTAATTAACCATTACGCGCGCGCTAAGAAAAATTGACTTCAGCGTGCATGGACGACACGCGATCGATGATAGGAGTAAAGTAAAGACCAGTAAGCACATATGAGTGGAAACAAAGGCAGAAACCAACCCAGAAAAGGTAATATATGAGTCCCCACCCATCTTCATCATCAAAACAATGTTGTTGCAGGGCATGTCTCCACAGGGGAGTTTTTCGCTCTCGGTAAGTCTCTACTCCTGAACTGAACGATGTCACCTTTTTATTTACTCACTCTCTGTGCAAAAGGCTCAAAGTCGGGGCCGTCCAAACCTCCACTGCGTCTGTCAGAGGAGGCCAAGATAGCCTCAACGAAACCCAGTCTCCTGGGCCAACCCCCGTCCAAGAAACTCCGCCCAGCCCCGCCCTCCGAGAGTTCGTCTTCGGGCGGGCTCTTCTCTGACCCAATTCGCATGACACAGGTCTTCTCTATCACCTTTCTCCCCCTCTCTCTGTCGCAAACTTCAATTTTCTTCCCCCAGAGTTCCCAGAGTTCCCAGAGTGGCGGGAGCAAAGGTCAAACGTCAGCTGGAATTCTCAAAGGTCAAAGTTCATCGACAGGGCCGAAAGGTCAGAGCGCGACAAAACAGTCTCTTGGAGGAGGCTCAGGAACGCCTCAACTACAAATCATTGAAGGTTCTCATTTTCTCCAAAAACTGTGTAGTATTATAAAATACACTTTTGTGTGTTGTTAGTTCGACCAGGAGACCTGTTACCAGCGATAGCAGAGGCCAAATCAGCCGGAGGAGGAGGAGGAGGGGGAGGGGGAGAGTCTAAAGTTGTGAGAATCCTGGCAGGAGCCATGAAACAGCTGAAGCACTCGCGACTAAAGCCAGATGCCAAGTTGAATAGTGACCTGGTGTCACTGGTGAAGGAAGACCCGCAGCTGTTTAACAACCCCAATATCATTGAGGTTAGTGGGTGGAGTCAGAGTAACTGGTTGCCAGGAGACGCACACGCACTCTCTAATAAGCCACACCCTTGAAAATAGGACCTTTTTAACTTTTCTCCCCAAGACTGTTTGTGTTCCCTGTCACTTGACTGGGTCCTTGTGTACACATTGGACCATGTGACTAGAGTCTTCCACCATCCAGGGGTTGGTGTCAGTTTTGAAGCGCGAACCCTCTGTGATCTTCAAGGCAAAGAGCAATCCATCGGTGTACGTTCTGACCACCCAGCTCCTCCTGTTGGCCCTCCAACACTCTTACGACTGGCCTGAAATGATAGGGAGGGTGAGTCAATTCTGGGAGGTTGTTTCTTGCAGCTTTTAGTATACTGTATGTTGGGTTGCTGCTTCCATTAGCCGAGTGATATTTACCGTGATATGCCGTCTGTCAGGCGTTCATTGAAGACTCGGTAGGAGACAGAGTCTGGGTGGACCTCGAACAGTGCAGGAGACTGGTGGAGAACATCTGCATCACCTTCCAGACCAAGGCCCCTTCCTCCTCCTCCTCCTCCTCCTCTTCGTCGTCAGGGGCTGGGTCTGGCGAGGGAGGAGGGTCTGGTAAGCCGTCCACTAGTGGAGGAGAGGGTGTGGCAACTGGAGGAGGGGGAGAGAAAGAGGACAGTGAAGTGTTGCATTCTCTTATCGAGGAAGTTGATGTGGAACCACGGTAATATATCTTGCAAGTGTGTGCTATTGTTTTCTGTTCCGACTGCCTACCTTTGTATAGCGACAAACTTAGAGACAAACAAACTTACACAATCCAGTGGCAAACGAGAATTTTCTTCCCAGCTATATACTCGTCTACAAAATGTCACCCTTCATAAAACAAATTGCAGAGAAAAAGATGACCCCACCATGATCTTTCCTCTCTGTGTATGCCTCTCTTCTCTCTTGTTGTCTCCCTCTCCTCCCACTCAACCAGGTTCTCCCTAGCCACGTGCAAGTCTCTCAAGACCCACATCCTCCAGCTGCTGTCAGAGGCCTTCTCCCGCCACGCCCACCCCCCAGACTCCATCTCCCGAAATCTACTCCGGTTCCTCACGGCCGTAGTGGGGTACCCCGAAGTACGAGTCATCGTCGCTCAGAAGATGGAGGCTTGGATACAGAATCCCAAGGTGGGCGTGGCCTAATCTCGCTCCCCGTACAATGTACATGTACCACAGCTAGGTAAACTCTGCCAGGAGCTGCTGATGGCAGTGGCTACAAACTGCACCACTCACCAGTCGGAGGACCTCAAGGTCATCGAGTCACTGCTCGCCGTCAGACTCAAGACGAAACTCTTCTCCAACCAGTTTGTCGGGTGTATCAGGTGTGCAGCTGCGACAAATTTAATGAGTTTTTGCCGAGAACCAAGATGTAATGGCGTCCTTCTCTCCTTGCTAGAGAGCTCATATCCAGTCATCCTGGTAACCTGGAGACGGTACTGAGGGGTGTGGTCAACAACGAGCTGGGGCAGCTGCGTAGTCCTAGCAACATAGCTCTCCTGGCGATGATGCTGCACCACTGGCCCGACGAGGCACCAAAGGTAAAACCCCTACTCGTTAGTGTGTTATTGTCGGTGTCAGTTTCCATTCCCCCATTCCAGCTCCTCGGTACCGTGTTCCAGGAGTTCCTGACACGGAAGGAGGACTACCTGCGGGCCCTGCGAGGGTTCCTGAGGGAGATTGTGCGACAAGTCAGAAACGAGTTCAAATTCTACTCGTTCTCCTGGTCTCTCATGCAAAAGATGGAGACCTTTGACCTCCAGCAGCTGGAGCCTCAACACAAGGTTGGCTGCTGAATTTCCTCCTCTCTCGTCGTCTTCTGCTTCTTCCCTTTTTCTTATACACGTTACTCCATTTTGTACTTCTCCCTCGCGTTAAACCTCCATTAGTCTTCATCTATATTTCTTTATGGCTTCATCAGTTTTTCTTGCTTTTTTCTTTTTCATTAGTCTCCTTTTTTCCTTTTTTCTTGTCCCTCTCACTTTGGTCTATCGTTTCTTCTCCATTCATAAACGCTCTACTCAGACTCTCCTCTCTCTCGACTACTCTGACACTATACCCCCACCAAGGAGCGAATGGCGCTCTCCCTCGCTGATCTCATCGCCTGTTCCTGCATGCTAATGGCCAACATGCTGATACGCGAGGCCTACGCCGGGTACCAGAAAGGCGAGAAAGCCATGGTCCCCCAACTCCAGGAATTCTTCACCACCCTCGGAGTCATCCACGAGACGGTGTCTGGTGGATACATACAGTTGTGGCAGAGGTCTACCGCCCCCAGCCACAGGACTACAAACTCTGTCTGAGAAAAGTCCTATTTCTGGAGGGTGCTGAGGCCTACTGCAGTAAGGACAACTGGCCGCCGGAGACGGATCGCAAGTGAGGGGCTGCCGCTTCGCGAGAAAATTTCGGAGGAGAAAACGTGGGAATTTTTGGCGAAAACGATTGCAGATCACTGGTCCCGCAACACCCGCTTGCATAATTTCAGGTGGAAAGCCTTCACAGATGGCTAATTAACCGTGATTAGCGAATGTTTTCTCCATCGAACGTTAGGCCCACTAGTCACGATTGTGTCCCTGTGTGCCTAGCATGCATGGCCAGTAATTTTGACTAGTTATGTATTTCACTTTCTGAAAATTTCTTCCTGTTTTGAACATTGAACTTTGCAAAACTATAGTTTGCCAACTTTTATATATAACCCCCCCTCTCTAGTCTGATTTTCCACCTGATGGGTGAGGCAGGTCTCAAGGAGGACACCCTGATGAGAGTGCTGATCATTGGCCTCAAGAGGGACCTCCCCCTTTCTCCCGCTGACTCCCTCGACATCGCCGACCGCCTCGTTGCCAGGGCTGCCAGCGCCCACAGCGACGGTAAACAACATTCCTGAGACGATCCCTTTTTTCTACTTTCCCTTCTCACCCATGTACTTGGATAATCACTGGGTTAAATATATTAGCTTGTGTACGTCACCCTGACTAAGTATTTTACATAACCGCCCTGGCAAGTGCACTACGTATGTATGTGAATTGATTCCAGTCAAAATGGCAGAGTTTGACTGCCAAAGAAGGTTGTTGCCTTCTATTCCCTCTTGGTTTTGATCTGTGTTGCTGGGTTACTGATCTATCAGGCAAACATTTTAACATAGTTCTCTCTCTCCTCGAACCTCAGACATTCCGCGACTCCCTGTGGTAGAAAGAAGGGAGCTGTTCAACGTCATATTTGACATCACGACCTACAGACCTCCGCCCAACATTCAGCTCCCCGAGGACTACCATCCTCCATCTCTCGCCATCTCCAAACTATACTGGAAGGGATGGATACTGCTGCTGGTACTAGCCGCGTTCAACCCTAAATCTATTGGTATGATTTAATATACTACGTACCCTTATAATGCTACAAATGTGACTGTCTCTCTTTTTCCCTGCTCACGTGTCTTTCTCCCAAGGCTCCCTGGGCTGGTCGGAGTACCCTCCCCTAAAAGGAATGATGGAGATGGTCATGACGAGCAACTATTCCTTCCCTCCCTCCATGGCCCTCGCCACTCGGGAAGACGGCTCCCTGGAGACCAGAGACAACGCAGTCATGAGAGAACTGCAGGTGACCCCTTCCTCCGTTCCTTATTACCTGACTTCCATACTACCTCTGGTTTCTTTCTCCACCCCTCCCCCCTGTCTCTCTCCTCTCTCTCCAGGTGTCTCGAGCAGAGAAGGAAGCCATCTTGGAGTACGAGAAACCACCTGGCAGCCTCCTCTTCCCAACCTAACGTCATCAACGAGTCCAACAGTTATCTCCTCAACCAAGTCACCCTCATGCAGCCCAAGTCAGTGGTTTTTTACAAGGGGGGCTGTGTTTGGCCTTTTCCCCATCTGGCTCCCACGTTTCGTTTCTTCCCCCTTTTCGCTCTTTTTCACTCTTGCCTATCTTGCCAGTATTCCTTACCATTTCTCTCTCTCCCTCCCTCCCCTCCTGACTCTAGGGGCCCCGTGAGGAAACTGCCAGCAACAGTCATAGATCTCATCAAGACTGTCAACAGACTCAAACTGGGGCAGCTGCTATGTCGCTGTCGCTCCCCCGACTTTCTTCTCGATATCATCAGGAGACAAGTGAGTCCCGTTGGTACCGAATCTTGCGTCGACACACTTCGCCTTCATTTCTCGGTTTTTACTCTTTTCTCTATATACCAAGTTCTGTTAGATTCAAGCTCAAAGCAAGAATTGGTTGTCATGTACCTAATTTTCGTTCTTCTGTGTATATCCATGCACCCAGATGCACGGCTTTAAGGTTTTTACCGTCAGTAAAAATGGTCCAGATTCACGAAAAACAACATATCGTCGTTCACTTTTAAAACAGAAAGTCGTGAAATATTATCTCCCTGAAAGTTCCAGCTACATGTGTATCTTTGTTGTGCAGGGGACGGCAGAGTCGATGAAGTGGCTGACGGAGCTAATGGAGTCCAGTCACAGTTCTCTTGAGGTCCTGCCCGTCCCCTGTCTGTGTGAGTTCCTCATGGCCAGCTACAAGGAGCAGGGAGACGGTGGGTCGAGCGACGCGGACTCTGCTGACCCCAGCAGCCATAGGGGCATGTACAAACGCCGGAAGACAGCACACGACAAGGTTTGAGGATAAACCAGCCTCACAACGTTAGGATGGAGAGTGGTTTTGGAAGAGAGGGAGGGGAGAACGGGAGGAAATGTGTGTGTGTGTTAAAAACTGGGAAGTGGGAAAGTGTTGGCTATATCTCTGCAGGTGAATGAGCGACAGAAGCAGCTGGTGCGGCAACTGCGGAGTCTCCTGGTCGGGCTCCAGGCCTCACCGGAAAAGACGGGAGAAGTTCTCGAGTATTTCTTCGAGAAGCTGACTGGCTCTAGCATCACTCCGCGACGTCTGGCACTGAAGGTTTATACTTTGTCCAAATCGTTCACCAAAAATTTTGCAATAATTATTCTCAGCTGTATTAGTTAAAATGTAAGATTTACCAATTCCAGTATGCCTTTATAGATGGATTTTGCAATGCTCTTTGCTACTATGTTCACCTGTTAAAACTCCATATTATCCACCGTTTTTTAACTATACTATTGGTATGATGTGTTATATAAGAGAAACATGTTTTAACCAATTCTCTGTAATACGTACAGAGTCTCCAGCTCATTCTGAGCAAGGGAATGGTTCCCGGACAGTCTGAGTCTGACACCTCTGACACGGACGACGAGGCGGGCCGGGCGGAGGGCAGGGAAGACGGATGGCTCATGAAACAGCTGCCCAACCTGCCACACTTTAACGCCGTCCTCCCTAAGATCTCCCACCTCCTGCTCCAAGCTTGTCTCATGGAGACTCAGCTGCGCAGCCTTCGGTCGTACGTTCTCTTCATAACCAGCCACATACCTCGAGACCACATCTTTGAGTTTTCCATCGGGATATCGCAGATTGTGGTGGACCGGTTTGCCATCATCAAGAGGGTGTTCGGGATGGCGGCGGGCGAGGGGGAGAGCGAGAAGGGGAGGGGCGCGGAAGCCATGCACGCGGCTCTGCTGAACATGCTGAGAGTGAGTTTGGAGACGGCGATTCATTCGCAAAGGATCCCTCAGGTCTCCGGTAGCTCCGATTTCGTCCTCTTGACTTTCCCGTCCGGGAAAAAGACTATTCTTCACGCCGCGCTTATCCACGCCTCACTTCTTCTTCTCACCTGTCCCCCTCCTCCCTCCCCTCCCGCGTTGGCCGACTTTGAATTTCTCTCCGACCTGTGGCTTCCCGCGGGAGAGAAATTTCCCGAGGCACACACCGTGGAGGACAAAGAGGGGACCCCTATAATTTCCTCCACTATTCTTCCCGAAATGTTGCTCTCTCGGAATCCTAGAGTCATGGGTGTGTGTCTGAGAGATGCCGGGATTTTGGAGCTCTGTTTGAGCGTGCAGCAGTTTGGCATTCCAGAGGCTAACATGAAGCAGATATTGGCCCACCTGGACAAGTTGTGTACCGGTGAATCCTCGGCTGATCTCGAGGCCGTGATTCAGAACCCGGGAAAGCTGGCGCAGTTCAGCGAAGTCCAGTTCGCCAGGTGCGGTTTGAAAGACGGGAGGGCTTTCCTCTCGTTAGTGAGAAATATCGCCGGAATCCCCGACGATCCCGTGCAGAGCGTCTCCGAAATGCTGCTCTCAAGTGGAGAGACGCGGGAAGTCGAGATGGCTCCCGTTGTGCCGTCCACCGACGAGAAAACGAGCCTCGGTCAACTCTCGGAGGAGAAACTCGAGCAGGCGTTTATGAAGGTGTTTGCTCCCTCCGTTGGGCGATCCAGCTTGCCGGCCGAGGAGGTGGTGAAGGCTTTGTCTGACACCGAGAAAGGTTTGAGATCGGTAATTCAGTCTGTCACCGCGGAGTCGTGCGACGTGAAACGCGAGGAACTTTCTTCACCTGCTGTGCCAGTCGTGTCTGCCCTCCACAAGGTTGTAGTGAAGTGCACAGGTAGAACGCGACGCCAGGTTCTGGAGGGAATGATTAAGTCATCGTTTGCCGTCTCTCTTCTTCGACTCCTGACTAGGATACACGTTTTGGCCGGCGGGGGTGAGGGCACAGCAGACAGCGATCTCCTGCGAGCCACGGTGAAGCAGATTTCAGACTCGCTAGCCACGATGAAATTCGGGAAAATCAAGGAGCTCCCGCGATTTCAGGCCGTTGTGAAGGCGTGCTCGACGCAACTGGGCCTCAAGATGCTCCCGGAGAGGGAAAGCTACTCGGAGAGGGTGGCGAAAGTCGCCGAAGACTGTGCTTCGGGGATCAGGAAAGAGACGGACTTGTTCAGCCCGGACCAGGCCAAGATGATAAGCGACATCTGTCACTTCGTGGGGACAGAGAAACAGTCACCGCACGTGGAGTCGGTTCTGAGCGCGCTGGTTCATCGCTCGATCGTCTCGGGCATGGAGAGGGAATGTATCGAATTGCTACAGAAGCTGAGCTGGAGATGCAAACCTATCGCACTGCAGCAGTCCCCGGAGATGTTGCACCTTGTTGTGGAGAAAGATAGCGAGAAACGCAGCCAGGAGCCGACGGGAGGAGAGAGAGACAAGAAGGGAAGAGTTTCGAGCTCTCGCGTGTCGTTTGTTCACTCGCTAGACATGAGCGGGTTGAAAGTGGACTTGTTGGAGATCCTGGACCCTGACATTCTGAGAATGACACCAGAGGTGACGAGGAGAGAGGTGTTTGGTTGGAGCTGCGTGGGGAGGGAGAGGGAGGAGGGGGAGGCAGGGGGAGCGTGGCTGGGTCCGGGGTACCTCATGGCCCGTCTGGTTCACGAGAGCTCCTGGGAGACCCTCCAGGGAACGGTTACATCACTGCTAGTGGAGGAACACTGCCAGGATGAGGGGTGAGTAAGGCCTCAGTCCTGGATTCTGGTACTTTCCCTACAATCTTAGGACATCATTAGCTTGCCTATAATCTCCTGGGGTATTTCCTGCATATTTAGGACATGATCAAACCTGCCACAAACACTCTTCTTGAAGACCCTGAACATTCCTTAGCGAGGACGCCTCTCTATGGATGTGTGTTAACCCTGGCACCGACAGCTTTCCTAGTGTGTGACTAAACCTCCTAATATAGGAAACCTGTGGATATAGGACGGTCTCTTGGTCCCAGCATGCCCTTTTTTGGAGGCTGGACTAGATGAACGTCTTGTTCCCAGACCCTCTTCCCCTTATCTCAAGGCTATGAATAGTATGTGTGTGTGATATAAGACTTGGTTGACATGTACGGACGTAGGGTGAACTGCAGTGCAGTGCTGGATTTCCTGTGGGCCTGTCTCCACAAGCCGGTTCTCTGGCAAGGCTGTGTCGGTCGGGAGGCCATTGAGAACAGCAACATCTCCTTGGTGAGCTGAATTCACACAACACATGTAAATGTACACTCGCCGATGTGGTTGGAACAGTATCGAAAATGAGCTTTTAGTATGGTAGTTGGTGATATAATTGCCGAGCGCGTTAGCGTGAGGCAACTAATCCGGGTTGTATTCTCGCGATATGCGTACGTACGTACGTACGTGTCGGTCACACTTAAGAATGTCAATTAGTCACCAAAAGGAAGTGTAACTTCCGTCATTCGTAGGAAGTCTAGCTTCCGCCGTGCGTGCAGATTCGTAGGAAGTCTGGCTTCGCGCGCAGTCAGTAGAGCACGCGAACGAGCGGCCTCAGTCGGACTGTTTACGCATTGGCTGGCAGGCGTGAGGCAAAATATGCTCGTGCGCATTCCTAGTATAGGTCAGCTACACAACGGTAGCACGCAGATCAACTGAAGCATGTTTTGGATGGACTAGTTAAAACCTCTTTGTAAATTGGCTCCTAAATGACTGTTCTTTACGATTTCACTAAACTCTGCATCCGCCGCGTCGCGTAGGGGATCGACGAGAGTACATGTACGGACGTAGGGTGAACTGCAGTGCAGTGCTGGATTTCCTGTGGGCCTGTCTCCACAAGCCGGTTCTCTGGCAAGGCTGTGTCGGTCGGGAGGCCATTGAGACAGCAACATCTCCTTGGTGAGCCGAATTCACACAACACATGTAAATGTACACTCGCCGATGTGGTTGGAACAGTATCGAAAATGAGCTTTTAGTATGGTAGTTGGTGATATAATTGCCGAGCGCGTTAGCGTGAGGCAACTAATCCGGGTTGTATTCTCGCGATATGCGTACGTACGTACGTACGTGTCGGTCACACTTAAGAATGTCAATTAGTCACCAAAAGGAAGTGTAACTTCCGTCATTCGTAGGAAGTCTAGCTTCCGCCGTGCGCGCAGATTCGTAGGAAGTCTGGCTTCGCGCGCAGTCAGTAGAGCACGCGAACGAGCGGCCTCAGTCGGACTGTTTACGCATTGGCTGGCAGGCGCAAGGCAAAATATGCTCTAGCATTCCTAGTATAGGAGGTAATGTCAGCTACACGGTAGCACGCAGATCAACTGAAGCATGTCTTGGATGGACTTAAATCCCTAGTTAATAAATTGGCTCCTAAATGACTGTTCTTTACGATTTCATTAAACTCTGCATCCGCTGCGTCGCGTAGGGGATCGACGAGAGTGAGCTGAAATTAACCCTGTCCCAACTGAAGTGTCTCCTGGACTGCATACTGAGGGAAGCCGGGCAAACCTCCACAGCCAATGGAGGGTAAGTTTGTTTTCACACAATAACTCTCATCTCATTAGTGGTTTCTGTTTTGTGTGTCGGTTTTTAGCTTCTGTATACCGCCTTGGCCTTGTCTGTCTGTGAATGCTTACACCTCTGCTCTTTACATGGTATAAGAGAGATCGGACCCTGTCTATGTCGTGTGTACGGAATGGAAGCATTGGTAAAATTGTGTCTCGAGCTAAGCCTCCATACATAGAAATTTAATTTGAGGGTTTGAACGCTTGATACTCTTGACATACACACAGTGCGACTTAGTGTAATATGGCAGGATACCCCATAGAAACAAGGATGGAGACATTTTCAGATGGTATCACAACCACAATGCCCCCATTTATGTAAGAGGTGTGGGGAGCCTTTAGCGGGGGAGTCGGAACCTTTTTTGATGACACAGATATTTAGAAGCAGCACCGGATCTACACAAGGAATGTAACACGAAAAATCACAGACGAAGAATATCGCAAACAAAAAGGAAACATGCCGACAAAAAAACTGGAACATAACAACTCACAAACTGACACAAAGATTGGAGAGAATCAGTCTTAGATGGGTATTATATTCAGGTAGTCTGAAGAGGGGCTGTTTTCTTCGATTCTGGGCAGGAATGGAGGTTTGACTGGTGGAGCAGGTCTGCTGGTTGCCCACTCCAGACGGTTTATCACGTAGCCTTCGGAGCCCGTGGAGTAGCAGGAGGTGCGGTCTCTGTTGTGGGGACTGGTGAGGGCCACGGGGCTATTGAGACTGCTGATGACATAGCCAGACCCGCTACTAGCAGTGGAAATGGTTGACACTCGCTGGAGGATCGGCGGCAGCGGTCTGAGATGGTGTGTGCGAGTGTTCCTGTTCTCCACCGGTCTTCTCAGTGACTCAATCTCCAGCACTGTGCTATAGGCGTCGTTGTCTAGCGTGTCTATTTCCTCTAGTGCTAGCTGGACTCTGTCGGCGTTCTCTGTAGTCTCCTGGGGATCTTGGTCAGAGAGCTCCTCGAAATCCCCTCCCTCGAATCTTGTCAGCCCTCGCGGGAGGGTCTCGTAGGCACTCCAGGTCTTATGGCTGATCTCCAGGTCGCTTTCTCTTCCGTCGGCCGCAACTCTTCTAGAGGGAGGCGTCCTCATCTGCACCTCGAGCTGCTCGCGTGTGTCCAGCTCCCCACTGCTCCTCTCCAGCTGGGCCAGGCTGGCTGAAGTTAGCTCGGAGGTGAATGTAGGTAGGGTGTCGGAGCTACCTCTCAGCTGGTCGAGGCTACTCTGGCTGTTACAGTCACGTGTGGCTAGCGTGCTCCCGCCTGTTAGCTGGAGCTGCGACAGGCCCGTCTGCTTCACACGGGCTCTCTTTCTCCCCTCCTCTCCTCCTACAGAGCAGCAACACAGTTCCAGATGTAAAAATGACCCAATTTTCTACCAGCTCTGATGAGTTTTCTACCAACTCTGGTCCTATATATACATCAATGAGTTTTCTACCAACTCTGGTCTGATACATCAATGAGTTTTCTACCAACTCCGGTCCTATACATCAATGAGTTTTCTACCAACTCTGGTCCTATACATCAATGAGTTTTCTACCAGCTCTGATGAGTTTCTACCAACTCTGGTCCTATATATACATCAATGAGTTTTCTACCAACTCTGGTCTGATACATCAATGAGTTTTCTACCAACTCCGGTCCTATACATCAATGAGTTTTCTACCAACTCTGGTCCTATACATCAATGAGTTTTCTACCAACTCCGGTCCTATACATCAATGAATTTTCTACCAACTCTGGTCTGATACATCAATGAGTTTTCTACCAACTCTGGTCTGATACATCAATGAGTTTTCTACCAACTCCGGTCCTATACATCAATGAGTTTTCTACCAACTCTGGTTCTATACATCAATGAGTTTTCTACCAACTCCGGTCCTATACATCAATGAATTTTCTACCAACTCTGGTCTGATACATCAATGAGTTTTCTACCAACTCTGGTCTGATACATCAATGAGTTTTCTACCAACTCCGGTCTGAGTTTTCTACCAGCTATACATACATACAATGGAGGAACCTTTAATAAGCGCAACTAAACCCACTAAGAAGAAACTAATGGAGTAAATTCTTAATTAAAGTTATAGCTCATGTTGTGGATAGAGTATATACAAAGAGAGTAGACTACTAACCTCTGCTGCACCGGTGGTGACAGCGGCAGCAGCAGTAGATCCCCACTACTATCACAGCACTGATGACAATGAGAGAAACCGCCACCCCACCGGCTCCTATCAGAACTAACTTGACCACTGAACTCGACAAGAAACTCATCTCTCTCTCTCTCTGCCTCCGTGCTCCCTATAGATGCAACATTATATTGCCTCGCAGTATGTTACTGCTATAGTGTAAGACTGGAGGCAGCTCAGAGTCAAACGTTTTAAATGCACACAGGGATGGTAGTATATACAGGAAGGCAATTGTTGTATGAGCTCTGTGTTTATGTTGGAACTTCCTGGGTATCTGGTGAGCACATTGAGCGAGGGGCTTCTGTTGAAGAACTACATACTTCACACTGCTCTTACTAGTCATTCAGCCTATAGTTTCCTATAGGCCTGTGTTTTTACCCCGCACAACTACAAAGAAATACGGAACTCTTTCATCTAATTGCTTGTTATTACAGGGACCAAAGGGAGGAGGATGATGGTGGTAGTAGTGGACTCTACTCACGGCTGCCACTGCTGGTGTCCTGTTACCGTGGTGACCCAGCTGCCTTGGAGACAGTAGTTCAACATCTCACAACACACGCAAGGTCCTCACTCAAGCAGTGAATGAGTGAAATAATGTCACATGATATTTCTCTCTCGTGTAGGTTTCCAGATCTCAGTCGGCAGCTGCTTGTCCAATTGTACCACGCTGATGAGAGGGTCCTCCTCTTCCACGACCGCAGAACATTTCTGAAGACTCTCGTCTCCTCTCCTCTCTCCATTCCTTGCAGGGTCAGTTATGACATACAAATAGAAAAAATTGTGAATGACTCTCAACCATTTGCTTAAAATTTCATAACGAAATACGTACTTCTTGAATCGCCTACCTTTTCGTACGTAGTTGTAGTTATATACACTGTGCTATGTTAGTGGAAACTTTGAAGCCAATTTAAAAGTTTAAAGAGCCACTCGCTGTGCTAATTTTGTGGACGGAAAGTCCAACATTTAGACAACAAATATTCCCACCTGATGATGAAAGTTTACTGTGTTAGTTGACTTAGAGCTAGTGTTGAAAGGTATGGAGACAAGAGCTGTGTGTGTATTGACTATTGAGTCTGGGTGTAAGAAGGTATGATGATGTGTTGACTGTTGCAGCTGGACACGGACCTGCACCATCTGGTGTCTGCCATGTGTGATGCAAAATCCGGCCAGAACAGCGTGCACAAGATGACCAGCGCGGCCATGATCTGTCGCAGGATTGCCTACTGCCATCCAACACTATTTCTCAGGTCGCAGCTTGTCTCTCTCCCAATTAACATCTCAACTGAAAGCAGTCTCTCTTCCCTCGCAGGCAGCTGCCGTTGCTAGGCTGGTTGCTAAGGGGCAGGGCCCACCTGAATCCCTCAGAATTCCGGAATCGCAACCACAAACACGTGTTTCAGAACTCGCTCTTCCTACTCCACCTTCTTCAGCCTCTCATCTTCGACAACTCTCAAGTAATATAATATCTATGTACAGTTCACCGGATTTGAATGCTGCACTATGCAACAATACAAACACATGCAAGAATGTTCATCGTCGCATGTACTGTGTACCACTTGCTCATATTTTCCCCCCAGAATCATGCTATGGAGCTGTGCCTACAACCTTTCTTTGAATTTCTCAAGGTTAGCTACTTCTAACTGTTGTCCTATATCCCAACCCCATCCCTCCTCCCCCCTCCCCCTCCTCACAGAACCAGTGTGTGGAATCCAAAAGGCACCAGAACATGGTTCTCAAGTTCTCCGATCTTCTCGTTCTCTACACGCAGCACAACAAGACGTCGGCAGCTCCTCTCATCCACCGCCATCTTGATCTCCTCCAGTGAGTTGGCGTCCTTTTTCAGAGGTTCAATAGTTTATCTACCTCACCCCCACACCTCCCAGGGCACTGGCTGATACCTACTCCACCAAAAAATCGAGTCTGCGCTCTCTAGTGGAGTGTTTCCCTCCAGAACCCCCGGAGACGACCCCCGGCCCCCCACTGGGGGTCCAGATTATGATGACCCCTCCGTCGGTCTTGGGGCACAGCCTCACACACGAACAGGTCATGCCGTTTCTGAAGAAACTGGAGCAAGGCCAGCTGAGGGAAGGTGAGAAGGTTTTCAAAATTCAGCGTTTGCACTGATATATAATTATTTGGAGTGTGTTGGTAAACAAATTGGTACTTTTAACAAACACCCAACGTACTGGTGTACATAACAAGTTAACGTGTTTTCTATCGCACACATGAGCCTTCTTTTCTCCTTACTCAGTCAGTCTGTGGGGTCTGTCCTTTAATTCACTCTGTCCATTAGTCTGTAACGAATAGGGTTAACTACTCTCTGGGTTGCAGATGTGCTGAAGGTCCTACAGGATCTCGAGGAGACCTCACTTCACTCTGTTGAGATTCTCAGACACTTTGTGGTCAGTTCTATGCCCTACTAAAGGGTTTCCTTACAATTCCTGTTTCTCATTTCTTCCCGTTTCCGTTTCTCATTTCATTCTCAGACACTTTGTGGTCAGTTCTATGCCCTACTAAAGGGTTTCCTTACAATTCCTGTTTCTCATTTCTTCCCGTTTCCATTTCTCATTTCTTTCTCAGACACTTTGTGGTCAGTTCTATGCCCTACTAAAGGTTTTCCTTACAATTCCTGTTTCTCATTTCTTCCCGTTTCCGTTTCTCATTTCTTTCTCAGACACTTTGTGGTCAGTTCTATGCCCTACTAAAGGGTTTCCTTACAATTCCCGTTTCTCATTTCTTCCCGTTTCCGTTTCTCATTTCTTTCTCAGACACTTTGTGGTCAGTTCTATGCCCTACTAAAGGGTTTCCTTACAATTCCTGTTTCTCATTTCTTTCTCAGACACTTTGTGGTCAGTTCTATGCCCTACTAAAGGGTTTCCTTACAATTCCTGTTTCTCATTTCTTCCCGTTTCCGTTTCTCATTTCATTCTCAGACACTTTGTGGTCAGTTCTATGCCCTACTAAAGGGTTTCCTTACAATTCCTGTTTCTCATTTCTTCCCGTTTCCATTTCTCATTTCATTCTCAGACACTTTGTGGTCAGTTCTATGCCCTACTAAAGGGTTTCCTTACAATTCCTGTTTCTCATTTCTTCCCGTTTCCGTTTCTCATTTCTTTCTCAGACACTTTGTGGTCAGTTCTATGCCCTACTAAAGGGTTTCCTTACAATTCCTGTTTCTCATTTCTTCCCGTTTCCGTTTCTCATTTCTTTCTCAGACACTTTGTGGTCAGTTCTATGCCCTACTAAAGGGTTTCCTTACAATTCCTGTTTCTCATTTCTTCCCGTTTCCATTTCTCATTTCATTCTCAGACACTTTGTGGTCAGTTCTATGCCCTACTAAAGGGTTTCCTTACAATTCCTGTTTCTCATTTCTTCCCGTTTCCATTTCTCATTTCATTCTCAGACACTTTGTGGTCAGTTCTATGCCCTACTAAAGGGTTTCCTTACAATTCCTGTTTCTCATTTCTTCCCGTTTCCGTTTCTCATTTCATTCTCAGACACTTTGTGGTCAGTTCTATACCCTACTAAAGGGTTTCCTTACAATTCCTGTTTCTCATTTCTTCCCGTTTCCGTTTCTCATTTCATTCTCAGACACTTTGTGGTCAGTTCTATACCCTACTAAAGGGTTTTCCTTACAATTCCTGTTTCTCATTTCTTCCCGTTTCCTTTCTCATTTCATTTCTCAGACACTTTGTGGTCAGTTCTATACCCTACTAAAGGGTTTCCTTACAATTCCTGTTTCTCATTTCTTCCGTTTCCGTTTCTCATGTCATTCTCAGACACTTTGTGGTCAGTTCTATGCCCTACTAAAGGGTTTCCCTTACAATTCCTGTTTCTCATTTCTTCTCCTCGTTTCCGTTTCTCATTTCATTCTCAGACACTTGTGGTGCAGTTCTATACCCTACTAACGGGTTTCCTTACAATTCCTGTTTCTCATTTCTCTTCCCGTTTCCGTTTTCTCATTTCATTCTCAGACACGTTGTGGGTCAGTTCTATGCCCTACTAAAGGGTTTTCCTTACAATTCCTGTTTCTCTCATTTCTTCCCGTTTCCGTTTCTCATTTCATTTCTCAGACACTTTGTGGTCAGTTCTATACCCTACTAAAGGGTTTCCTTACATTCCTGTTTCTCATTTCTTCCCGTTTCCGTTTCTCATTTCATTCTCAGACACTTGTGGTCAGTTCTATACCCTACTAAAGGGTTTCCTTACAATTCCTGTTTCTCATTTTTTCTTCCCGTTTCCGTTTCTCATTTCATTCTCAGACACTTTGTGGTCAGTTCTATGCCCTACTAAAGGGTTTCCTTACAATTCCTGTTTCTCATTTCTTCCCGTTTCCGTTTCTCATTTCATTCTCAGACACTTGTGGTCACGTTCTTACCCTACTAAGGGTTTCCTTACAATTCCTGTTTCTCATTTCTTCCCGTTCCGTTTCTCATTTCATTCTCAGACACTTTGTGGTCAGTTCTAT